ACTGTAAGGGTTTAGAAAGTTAAGTGACTTACGACTAACATTCTTTGTCAGGTCAGGTAGATTCCATTGTTTTCCCTGCCAGCTAACAGGTCATTTAAAATATTTTTAAAGACCTTTAAAAAAATAATTTATTTTTATTGATTTCAGAGAAGAAGGGAGAGAGAGAGAGAAATATCAGTGATGAGACTGCATCATTGATTGGCTGCCTCCTTTACGCCTGCAGATCGAGCCCACAACCCAGGCATGTGCTTTGGTAGGATTTGAACATGGGATCCTTCAGTCCACAGGCCAACACTATCCACTAAGCCAAACTGGCTAGAATTAAAATATTTTTGATGATAGGTTATTACGTTATTTGGAAATATAACTTAGAAAAAATTTCAACTAAAGGGAGAGATATCTATAACAAATGTATTTAATTCTCACCCATTTGTTTTGCTTAGTCCTTATAAAAATCACAAAATAGGGCTAAAGTTGATGTTGAATATCTGAATCATAGCACCAGGTATATTTATCCCTGGATGTATGAAAAAGCAAACACTAATTTCATTAAGAGATTTGTTTTCTATCAGTCTTCCCTTTTTATGTTGAATAATTCTTTGTAATCATATTTTGATCAGCTATTGTTAATAATTATATTTATAAGTAAATTCAGAAGTTACCATTTTAACATTTAGAGATTTAAGGCCACATTGAAAGCAAATTTAGTGTGTGTGTGTGTGTGTGTGTGTGTGTGTGAAAAAAGTATACTAGTAGGATAGTAAAAAAAGGTTTAAAGCACAGTAATATATTAGGATAAAGTTATATAGGAAAATAGAATGTAAATAAAAGAGAAAAAGGAACTGTAAAATTTTCATCTGTTCAAGAATAGTCCATGAAGTTTTAAATGGACAATGATGGGTTTCAAAATCACTCTGATATTTAGGCTCTATGGGATACACTTGAAAAAAGTAATATGGCATTTTAAATGTCAGTTTTTTACAGTACGCTGGAAATCACATTCTTGAACATGTGGTGAAGATTTTGATGTCAACAGAAAATGTGCCAGAGGTACATCACTGTATTTACAATGGTGTCAGTGAATATCCTAGCAAAATAGTTGCCAGCCACTGACTTTTTGGGTCCCAGTTCTGCTGGCTACTGGTGTACTTGAACTTCTGGCTCTGGAGATCAGTAAGTGGAGCAGCTTCAGACTCCTCCTCATGAGTCTTGGGAGGAGGCCTGAAGTGTGGCACCTGGCCAGCGCTGTCTTGAGTCTTCCGATGTACACTCACTCTGCTGTCTGTTGCACCGTAGCCCATCCATCAGAACTTTAAACTTGAATAGCATCTGTCCTTCCAGCCCCAGGTTGTGATCTACCAGTTCAAGCATTGGAGGGTGTGTGCATGTCTGTATCGGGGGAGGGAGGTTCACCTGCCAGTAGAGTGTGTGTGTGTGTGTGTGTGTGTGTGTGTGTGTGAGAGAGAGAGAGAGAGAGAGAGAGAGAGAGAGAGAGAGAGAGAGAGAGAGAAAGAGAGAGAAGGGGTAGCTGAGACCCACATTAATACACCAGTTTGCTTTCTTGAGACTAGGAAGCACCAACCTGAGCTGCCTACACAGTATTTTCATTGACTTGGTCCTGTTGCAGCATGTGTCAATTCTTCCCATTTTAAGAGACAATAGCAGGAAGGCGGGGCCACAGGCACTAGGTGAAGGTTAGAGTAGAAGTTTTCTGTTCCTTTCATACACTAAAGCTAAAAGGAACTATGCAAAATTAATAACCTTTTCTAAGGGATCTGAAAGAAAGATGAATAAATACTGTGGTTAGTTTTGGAAGTACTGAATACAATAAAGATGCTAATTCTTCCCAAATTTAGTGTATTTAATACAATTCTAATCAAGATTACTATCTAGCTACACAAATATTTTATAATTATTTTAAACTGACCACCTGACTCTAAAGATCATCTGAAAGAATAAACATAAAGTAGTTTTGGAAATTTTGAAGAAAGAAAAAAAAAAAAGAATGAAGATTTGCCCTGTCAGAGATTAGTTAATTGGAAGTTTCCTACCCTTGTCAGTTAAGGGGTGGACACACGATGTAAGACAAGCCACTCCAGTCTGTATTCATTATGATTCTAACCATTGTTTCCTTGTTACTCCATGGCTTAAACCGTGGGTAGATTTTTACCCAGTTTGCAGAGTAAGGTTAGGATGGACTTACATAAACTTTACATAAGTGGCATTCACAGATTTCCCTTTGAGGTGCATTTTAATGCCGTGGTCCCCACAGCGTATTTTTTATTTATTTATTTATTTTAAATAGATTTTTTATTGATTTTACACAGAGAGGAATTGAGAGGGACAGAGAGTTAGAAACATCGATGAGAGAGAAACACCGACCAGCTGCCTCCTGCACACCCCCCCACTGGGGACGTGCCCGCAACCAAGGCACATGCCCCTGACCGGAATTGAACCCGGGACCTTTCAGTCCGCAGGCCGACGCTCTGTCCACTGAGCCAACCCGGCCCCGGCCCCACAGCGTATTCTTGGCATCGCGGTATCAGTGTCTGTGAGACCTAACTAGAAATACAAATTCTCAGGCCCCACCTCAGACCTCTGGAGCCCGAAACTCTGGCATTAGCGCCTAGCCATCTTTTATGGACACTTGATGCAGGCTAAAGTTTGTGAAGCACATCACCAAAGAAAGGGTTTGTCGTCTGTCCTCTAGAATACTGAAACATGCATTGGGCTGCTAAGACGCACCATCATAATAAAAAGGAGAAAGCAGATTTACAGATAAGCCCCTGATGGAAATTCATGTGGCACACTTCAAGTCACAGATGTTGCATTTCGATTCAGCCATTCCTCACAGGGACAACTCCAGCGTGAGCAGCAGCTGGAATTTATTTAATTGACGATGGTTAATGAGGCTGCCAAATTACTTGGCTAGAAAGGTCAGCTGGTAGAGCAATTAAATATTTCCTGCTGTATCATCTGCCAGTTGATGTGAACCTGTGATTGTCAAGAGATCTAACTATTGGACTAAATAAAACATTAAGAAGTTAAATTTGCTGCAGGAAGGGGTGAGAGCCTGCACCATCCATAAGTGATTTTTAAGCCATCCACTGATCACTTCCTTGACTGTTACTGTACAGTTCACTGTAGTTAGCTTTCCACACTCTTATCTTCATAAGGAAAATTTTAACACTCATAATTTAAATACCCTTTAATGAAAGTAATTTTCCTTCTGATATTAATAGTCTCAGGTTTGTCTCTAAGAAAAACACTTCCTTGTGCAAAGAATGATTGACTAGAACCTACTTTGATGGATTCAGAGATATGTAAAGGCAGGCCATGTTTTTTGTGTTGGTTTTTTTTTTTTTTTTTGGCAATATATTCTTCAGGGATGGACTAAGCTGAGGCAAGTGAGGCATTCCTCAACTATGCAGAATTTTAAGGGCACCTAACATTTATATATATATATATATATATATATATATATATATATATATAGTAATAAAAAGCTAATATGCAAACCAACTGGACAGCAAAACGACTGGTTGCTATGATGCCCACTGACCACCAGGGGCAGATGCTAAACACAGGAGCTGCCCCTGGAGGTCAGTGCACTCCCATAGCAGGAGTGCCGCTCAGACAGAAGCCCTGAGCCGGTTCATAGCTGAGGAGAGCAGCGGCCTGTGGCAGGAGTCTCTCCCACCTCCACGGCAGCTAAGGATGTCTGAATGCCAACAGTGGGACAACCCCCCCAAGGGCTCCCGGACTGTGAGAGGGCACAGGCCGGGCTGAGGGACCCCTCCCCAAGTGCACAAATTTTGTGCACTGGGCCTCTAGTGTGTGTGTGTGTGTGTGTGTGTGTATTATGCAAATTTGTTCTGGATGCTTTAACATTCACAACCAGCTCCAAGCTCTAACAGTCACGACTGGTGCTGCTCAGAGCCCGCCCTCACCCTAGTGGACACACACAGGGGTACCTCTGCATGTGAGCTGCAGAGGAAAGGTCTTTTCTGACTGCTCATTGGCTAAGCTCCCTGTATGCCACTGGTAATATTCTTGGTAACTTGGGTAATAAGAATCCAAGAAGGTGATCTAGGGTTTTTCCACCTCACTTCTAGAGGAAAATATGAAGGTCTGCTGCTGGCGGGGCTAATAAATGCCATATCCTACCCTAGCCAGTTTGGCTCAGTGGATTCTGCCTCGGCCTGTTCGATTCTGGTCAAGGGCATGTACCTAGGTTGCAGGCTCCTCCTTGTCCGGGGCCCAGTTCAGGGCTCATGCCAGAGGCAATCAATCGAAGTGTCCCTCTCACATTGATGTTTCTCTCTGTTTTTCCTTCTCCCATGCTCTCTAAAAATCAATGGAAACATATCCTCAGGTCAGGATTTAAAAAAAGAAAGAAAGAAAGAAATGTCATATCCTATGAAAGAGACATCTTGAAAATGCCTAAAGAAAGTTGTCATTTTTTTCATGGTGAAGGGACTGGAGTCCCTGTTGATGAAAACACCTTGGCAGCTGTGGTGGCCGGCAGTGGCAGCAGCAGTGGGTGAAGGGGGTGGTGCCTTCCCCTGATCAGCCCGGTCACCTCCCACAGAGGGAGGCCAGACTGCAGCGTAGGCCAGCTCCCTGTTAGTAGGACATCCCCTGAGGGCTCTAGACTGTAAAAGGGGGCAGGCTAGGCTGAGGGACCCTCCGACCCCAGTGCATGAATTTTGTGCACCTGGCCTCTAGTTTTACCTATAATCAACATAAATAATATTTTAACGGCTAAAACTGATATAAAAGGAAAAACCAAAGATGAATAAAATACCAAAAGTTTAAATAAAGACAGGATTATAAATGCTGGGTTGAGTCATATTGGAGCCTGAGGCAAAAGAAAAGTCATTAATACTGATCTTGGCTCTGAAAATCTCAGGTAAGTAAAATATAAAGCTAGGACCAGATTAGTAATATGAAATTGTATTAGTGTTTATAATAATATTCTTTTGTTTTTATATTTCTAGGGATACACTGACATCTCCATCATGCTGGCAACATGCTGTCCTCCTTAACCGATTCAGTGACCCTTTTGAACTGGAAAAGGATTTACATTTCAAGGGCTATCACACACTCTTCCAAGGATCTTTACCCTATTATCCTAAATCAATGAAGTGTTATCTTAGCAGAATTCCCCACCGGATGCCTTCAGAAAGACACCAAATTGGAAGCCTAAAAAAATACTATCTCCTGAATGCTGCCTCTCTTCTCCCAGTACTGGCTCTTGATTTAAGGGATGGAGAGAAGGTTCTGGATCTGTGTGCTGCTCCTGGAGGAAAATCAGTCGCTCTGCTGCAGTGTGCTTACCCAGGTAGTATGTTTTTCTTTCAATTTTCAACCACTTTTCAATGTCTTTCTGTATAAAGTGCTTTTAAAATATCTGGGGGAGAAACATAAGATTGAGTTTGCAGACTTTAAAAGCATGAAAACCAACACAATATGGAGAGAATGGAAATCAGTGTAAATAACATTTTTCCCCAGTTACTTAATCCTAGTAGGTAATTGGGAACAAAATTACATTTTGGGAATAAAAATTTATCAGATAATATGAATTCTGATAAACCAATAACAAAGATTTAAAAATTTTTATTACCTTTATACTTAAGAGTCATATTGACTTCCTTGTCATACTATTACGAAGCAAAAACATACACCTTTAAAATAATTTTTTGGTATCATTAAATCATACAGTTCTATGGCAGTTCTTTCCAATCCTATATAATAAAACTCCAGTGACCGACTAGCGGAATGATCAGAATCATTGGTCGACCAGTTGCCATGATGTGCACTGACCACCAGGGGACAGCCGCTCATGCAGGGGCTGCCCCCTGGCGGTCAGTGTGCTACAACAGTGGGAGTGCCACTGCTCCTGCTGCAAACCACAGGCCGATGGGCGGAACTGGGCTATGATTGTCCTCTTCACCCCAGGCTCCTCCTCCTTGCTCTCTACTGCCTCATCCAGATGCCCGCAGGCTGCTCAGCGCTGTCGCTGGGCTCGCAGAGCTGACCCCGGAGGCTGGGAGGGGGGTTCGTGGCTGCCACGGGACTCTGCCACCTCTCAGAGCTATTATCCCTGTCTCCTGAAGAGGTGAGTGCTCCGGCTCCACAGAATATACTGGGCCAGGGAGCAGCCACTCAGATGGGGGATCCACAGCCACTCGGCTGACTGGGATGAGCAGCGCTCCCACAGCGGGCCAATCCCTGCAGGCCACGCCCCTCACCGGTGCACAAATCCCACGCACCAGGCCTCTAGTAGAGATATAACGTGACATTTACATACCATTTAAAACTTTTGAGTAGTCTTTGTGGGGGCTAAACAAATAGTTTTATGTTTTCCCCCAGTTAATAATTGTGAGGAACGCTTACCTGTCCAAATTCAAATACTGGACTCGGAGACAGGAATGGCGAAAAGAAGACTTTTTAAATGTGGTCTTGCGGGATCAGGTGTCTGGTTGAACAGGCACACACTTGGAGCGGTGGTCACAGGCTATTTATTCCTACTGTGTGAGAGTCCCTCCCCCAGTTCCTCATTGGTTGAGAACCATGGAGTTAACAGTTTCCCCCATATGTTGTCTAGGTTTATTTTCTCCCATTGGGTTACCTATATATATAAAAGCCCAAGAAACTGTTAGGGCCAATTGATCAAACAACCTGTCAACCGGTTGCTATGATGCACACTGACCACTGGGAGACGATGCTCAATGCAGAAGCTGCCCCCTAGTGGTCAGTGTGCTTTTACAGCCAACCTCCAGCAGCCAACCAACTTCCCATTTCCCTCACCCCAGACTGGGTGAGACAGCCCTGATTGGCTCTGATTGCCAGCAAGGCCTAGGGACCCCACCCGTCACAAAATTTGGAACCATCTCAATTACAAAAGGCTGTGTCTATCACCTATCCTGTTTCGCCGAAAATAAGACAGTGTCTTATATTAATCTTTTCTCCCAAAGTTGTGCTAGATCTTATTTTCAGGGGATGTCTTATCTTTCCATGCGCTAGGTCTTATTTTCGGGGAAACACGGTAGTTGTCGAATTCATTCACTTTCTCAGCCAAGGCTCCAATGTGTTGAACTTTTGTGTTTTGGCGGTTTCTTCACCCTGGCCTCATTTTCAGTAATAAGGTTCTGGATGGGTAGGAAGTTGGTTCCTCATATGTAAAGTCAGTGAAGGGCCATTAGGAAAGGAGGTGCCCTGACTCAAGCCTTCTCCTCCTTTAGGAAGTTGATCTGAAAATTGATTCTTATGAAACTGTCCAAGCCCATCTATCCCTTGGAACATTGTATGTGTCCTCGGGCCATGCGTATCACAGTTTGAAGACTGCTAATTTATATCTCCATTTGAGAACATTCCCTGTCGAAACAGATTATAAACATTTTTATAAGAACCAGGAATCCAGTTGTACTAAGCATTGGTACAAATATATGTTAACAGTGTATTTAGGAGCAAACTTCCTGTGTGTTTCAGAATTGTGGTTAAAACTCTGATATTGCAGCTTGCTGATTTTTATGTAAAAAATAACAAAAGAGATTATTTTGTAATAATTTAAGCTGAAGTTTTATGGAATCGTGTCATAAGGAGTACTGGGCTTTACTTTCACTCTGTATTCTTTGATAGTATTCTTATTTTGGCTGTTGCATCAGTTTTGAAAATAAAAATTTTAGTATTGCAAAAGATGGAAAAGAAATGTCGATTTTTGGTACCATTTTGAAGAGAGGGCATTTTAACCTTAAATTATCTGTATTAGTAGGCTGTAAATATTTCACATGCTTCTGTTAGGGAAGATGATTTGAAGGTGATTGAGGAATCCTAAGACAAACTGATATATTCTAGGACTTTGATATATTCTTCTGTTCTTACATCAAGGGTAATGAACTACAGGCAGCGGTCCAAGTAAAGTGGCTCTTCATCTAAGTAGGACTAATGATAATGGTTTACTAAGAAGTGCAGATGTCTTCGTGCTGATGCTCAAAGCCCAGATTAGGTTAGCTACAGTGCTTGGATTTGGAATGCAGAAGCAATGCTAATCAAAGCTTTTATAAGCAAAATTTAAAGTGATGGCTTGGCTAAATGTGCATTTATACACCAAATTTCTTTGGATCAGTACTGGACTTTGTTCTGGGCTAAGAGGCTTACAGCTTTGAAGGATTAAAAAGCTCATATTTTAGGTTGATTAAAAAAATTATTCTACTTTTCTGTTGGTCCATCTGCTCCCACCCGTAAGCACAGTGACGGATTATCCATTGGTTTTGTTGTTGTTGTTTGTTTTGGTCAACATAGTCTGTGATAAGTCCTGGTCTTGACAGAAAAAGAGCAAACAGTTCAGATTCAAAAGAGAAACACATTAATACATAAAGAATGACCTACCTTGGCAGAGTGGCTTGATCAGTTTCATGCTGTATCTCTCCAGGCATGAAATTCTCTTTGTTGTTAGTGATATATTTTTGACATGAGGTTAATCTTTGGTGATAGAAAAGATTAAAAAGATTCCTTTCATTACTGTGAATTGCTCTTGGCTTCCTTCATACCCTATAAGTGCTATTTCTCCCCTCTTTTCCTGCCTACACCTTCACATTCTTCAGGTTTTCACTCAAGAATCTACTTCGCGCCCTAAAGGGTTTGGCTCAGTGGATAGAGCGTTGGCCTGGGGACTGAAGAGTCCCAGGTTTGATTCCGGTCAAAGACATGTACCTCGGTTGTGGGCACATTCCCAGTGGAGGGTGTGCAGGAGGCAGCTGATTGATGTTTCTCTCTCATCATGTTTCTAACTCTCCCTCTCTCTTCCTCTCTGTTAAAAAAAAAAAAAAAAATCAATAAAAAAAAAAGAATCCACTTTCCTAAATTCCCTACATTAGATGCATCTTCTTTGTGGGACAATAAAAATAACCAACTTGGAACATTGCATAAATCCGTGTTTTCAAACATTTTTATTAGTCTCTGTTTCCAGCATCTTAGATTTCATCTCCTTATAAACATCTTTCTGAAATCCTAGGGCTCTGAGGAACACAGTGCATATATCTCATTTAATGCTGCAACTCATTTTTTGGGCATTGTCCCCATTTTAAACAAAATAGAGAGAAATTGCTTAAATTGGCCTAGGTGAGTGGCAGAGCTGGCATCTGAACTCAAGATTTCACTAAAATATTAGCTCTTGATCCTGTGCTACATTCTCCCAGTGTTACTCAACTGCTGTCTTGTCCAACATCCTCCATTAGCCAGCTCCTGGAGGCTTACCTTTGTGTCTGTAACAACTACACGGTGCCCAGTCCATTATAAGTGCTTAATAAACTAGAACCTTAAGGTATTTATACTCTCATATGTATTTTAAAATTCTTTATTACCATTTTGTATTTTTGTGCAAATTTGTTACATTGTTTCCAGATATTTCTTTCATCATGTTTACTATACCGTCACTATCATTATTCCAATTTTTACATAGAAAAGGACACATAAAACAATCATATTAGGAGGAAACACCATGCGGTTTTCCACAGTGGTTACTCCAATCTGTATTCTCACAAATAGTGCATAAGAGTTCCCTTTTCTCCACATTCTTGCCAAAACTTGTTGTTTGTGAATTTTATTGATGATAGCCATTCTGACAGGTGTGAGGTGATATCTCATTGTGGTTGTAATTTGCATTTCTCTGATGATTAGTGATGTTGAACATCTTTTCATATGTCTGTTGGCCATCTCTATGTCCTCATTGGAGAATTGTCTACTCGGGTCCTTTGCCCATATTTTAATTGGATTATTTGGGGATTTTTAGTGTTGAGTTTTAAAAGTTATTTGTAAATTCAAATATTAACCCCTTAATAAATGTATCAGCGATTATGTTCTCTTATTCAGTGGGTTATATTTTCATTTTGTTGATTTCCATTGATGTGCAAAGACTTTTTAGTTTGATTCAGTCTTTTTTGTTTATTTTTCCTATTATTTCCTTTTCCCAAGGAGATACATCAGAAAAAATATTGCTCGAGAGATGTCTGAAATATTAGTGCCTAAGTTTTCTTGTAGGATTTTTATGGTTTCAAGTCTTAACATTAAGTTTTTTTAATCCATTTTGAGTTTATTCTTGTATATCATTTAAAAAGGTGGTCTGTTTTCATTTTTTTGCATGTATCTGTTCAATTTTCCCAGCAGCATTTTTTGAATGGACTATATTTACCCCATTGTATGTTCTGGTCTTTTTGTCAAATATTAGTTGATGATAAAGGCCTGGGTTTATTTCTGGGCTCTCTGTACTGTTCTCTTAATCTGTATGTCTGTTTTTAAATTAAAAAAAATGAAATTGCCTTATGACCCAGTGATTCTACT